AATGAATGCATATTAAACTTGGGAGTTAAACTTGAGAGTTAAACTTGGGCCAGAGGGATTCATGAGTGTGTTGTTTCAGGAAGGAACTGCATATACAGAGATCCTGGGTTCCAGAGTGCACACGTTTCTGTCACCGTATTTTCCCAGACCCCCAAATAGTACTCGTATTTTATTTTCTCTTGTTATTAAGTGATTTTCAACTTAATGAAGTCCTCTACCACCAAGTTAGTGTTGGGAAAGTGTTATAGTGAGCTTTTGTTAGGTCTTGTCACAATGTTCTGTAAAGCTTTTAAGGTTGCTTCTTTGAAGGTGAGGTAGAATCTATAGTAAAAAAAGAATGGCATCTATAGTAAAAATGATATAAGAAAGGGAATAATATGGTAAGGGTTGGAGTAACATGAAGGAAGAAATGATAGAAATAGCATTAAAATTACAGTGGCTTGAGTTATAATTTCATTTTTTAAAAAAGACTCTATAGCATGAGATTGAACTGTATGAACCGTATTATGGAGATTTTAATGTAGCTTTGGCATGAACATGTTTTCTGTGAAAAGCTAGCTGCATATTCAGTCCTAGGGAACTTAACAGAGGAATTCAGTAAAGAAATTTGTTTCTGGGAAATATTTACTTATATTTGTATTTTGTTTTTTCTTTTGGTTTATCCTTCCTCAAGATGAAAAGGTAAATTTTATGTTGATAATCTAGCATTATGTATTGTAATATAATTATAATTTCCTTTATTTAAAGATTAAAGAAATAGTACACTGAATTTTAAGTCATTCAACCATTGATCTGGTCATTTATTTTTGTGTGATTTCTTTGGGGGATGGTTTTAGATTTTTTTTTCCTGATTTATTTTTCTTTCTTAGTGTAAATAAGTAGAATTCCAAGATGGTTCCTAAGATTTCTATCTCCCTCTGCCTTATATCCCCTATATAGTCTTCTGTTCTTGAGTGTGGGCTGGACTAGTAGATATGTCAGTTTATTTTGTAATACTCATAGGGACATTATTCTGGGTAAAACACTGGAGAGATGATTGAAAGATGATGAAGCATCAAAGAGATGTGCTGCTGGCCTTGAAGGAGCAGACTGCTGTGGAGTGGGCCATATGGAAGAACCTATGAACAAGCAGTGGGAACAGAAAGTAATCCCTGGCTGATAGCAAGCAGTTGGGATTTTAGTGTCAGGGTGGTAAGGAAATGAATTCTTAAATTCAAATGCAAATTTTTCCCTAGTCAAGCCTCCATTGCAGGCTATTACTGTTCTGCCTGTGATTTCAGCAGGATTTCTGATCTATAAAACTAAGAAATAATAAATTTGTGTTGTTTTAAATAAATAAGTTTGAGGAAATTTGTTACACAGCAGTAGAAAACTAGTATGTATAGATTTTTACATTCCTATATTACAATTAATTAAATGTGGAAGCAACTTTAGAGTTCGGTGGTGGGCAGAGGTGGGCAGAAACTGGAGGAATTTTGATGATAATGGTCGAGTAAACCTAAATGATGTTGAACACACTTTTGGTAGTAATGTGCTACCAATGAGAGCTCAGTAGGAGGACAAAAGGGACTTGTCATTGAAAACTTGGAGAAGGAAGGACTTGATACATAATGTCAAAATGCTTTGCAAAATTTGTGAGGAACTTGTGACAAACTTCTTGTATATATAGCTAAAGAGACTACCAAAGTGTGTGGTGTTTTGCTGTTGATAATAAAATGCTAGAGGAGAGAGATAAATTGTGGGAAGAACAGTTAAACAGAACTAATGTCACAGGTCTAGGTCTGAGGGTCCCTGAGGCTGAAATAAAGAATTTAACTTACCCTTTGAAAATAAGTTTGTGGGTGTACTAACTCTGTCACAGCAAAGGAATTTTTAGCACATGTCAGTGAAAGAGACATGAGAAGGATTTATTAGAGGTAGATATAGGACACACTCAAGAGTGGAGTGTGGGTGCTCAAAGAAATGAAGTATTATAATATATGTAGTTGGGAACTTCGGATTTTTCATGTGTTTTGGGTGCTGAAAATCTGAGGCATTTGATAATTTGTAGTCTTAGTCTTTTCTCATGGGTGAGAGAGAATGGCCCACCCATAGTGAGATATGATCTATTAATGTGGGAAATCTTAAAAGGGTAGTCTATTTTAATATGTGAAAGGGAACAATTTGTAAGTAAAAAGGGAATGGGCAAATGCCTTTGTGGTTGAAAGAGTTGTCTAGGTTTTGTTTTGAGAGAAGGAAAAAAATAAATTGGACTTGTGTTCTGCATTTTTTAAGCATACTTTTTAAAATTTCAGTTTCTTTGCATCCTTTTTATTTTATTTCTTTTATCCTATCTTACTAATGTACTTAATGATGTTGGTAATTTTCACCCTTTCCAAATGATAAAAGCTGCTAAAAGTAAAAACTGGGTGCTAAAAGTGTAGCTCAGAGAAGATTGTATGATGTTTTCCTAAAATTTAAAGATCAAAAGATCAGTAGTGTCTAGTCACACAAAGGACCCTTTCAGGAGATTAGAGTGTGTTTCACATTTTAATCCAGAAAGCCTTGTCACTCCTTAGCCACCTCAGCAGGAGGACAAGATAATCTCAGAAAAATGTATGCTTTGGCTTAAAGGAGTAAAACCTTATGAAATCCACAGATTGTCTTCAAAATTCTTTAGAAAATTATTTTAGCAGAGAAATACAAAGAGCTTGGACTACAAAATAGAGACTCTTGGATTCCCAAAATTCTACTTATACAGGAAGCAGGTTGATGAAACTACTAACTCATATTCTCCTGTTTTTTATAAAAAAAGGAAAGGTGATGTAGAGGATAGAGCTGAGAAATGCAGAGAATTCTTCCTAGGCTTGGAAACTTAGTCAAGAAACTTGTGTCTGCTTAGATTTTAGAATTGCTTTGGACTACTAATGGTTCCTTATTTTTTTGTTTTCCCCATTGGAATTGGAATATTTGTAAATACTGTCCTACATGTGTTCCACCATTTTATTTTGGGACTAGTGAGAGCAAGTAATTCATCTTAGTCTCACAGTTCTACAAAAAGAGAGAAACTGTTTCCTTTATAGCTACACTTACTGAATTGCATGTGAGCTCCTATTATCACCTGGACCTGATTTAGATTTTAGACTTTGGGTTGATGAATAATAGATGAAATTCTAGACTTCTGAAACAGAGATAGAGATGGAGATATTTGGTGAGATATAGTTAGATGATGAGATAATGGATTTTGGACTATAATTAAATGAGACTCTTGGGAATCTTAGGAGGTAGTGAACATATTTTGCATTTGGGAGAGACATGAATCATGGGCGCTTAGAAGGCAGAATTCTACTTACCATGGGGAAAATTCATTTTGTTTAAAATTACATTATAAAATTATTTTAAAAATTAAATGTATTTGAAATTTTTATTTATTTGTTTGTTTGTTTGTTTGTTTTTTGGTATCAGGGATCGAACTTGGGTCCTTGCACCAGGCGGCAGAACCACTGAGCTAAATCCCCGGCCCTGAAATTTTTTATTATTCCTTGCCTTTTCTAACTTTTCCTATGTGCATAAACTTTTTTGGTTCAGTTTTACAAGGGAATAAATTGATAAAATCATATTTTAGCAAAGTTAAATAAAATACAAGTATTATATGTTTTTCAAACATTTAAGCATGTGTAAGAAATATGGAGACATAGACACCTGTGTTCCCTGACCCTTGGCTTGTGATGTCACATGCTGCCTCAGGATCCTGTCAGTAAAAATGACTATCATCAAGACTGCTGATGCCAGTGCCATTCTCTTGATCCTCTAAAATTCTTGGAGTCAAATGGTCTTTCCTAGGAATATGTGTCTTCTTGATAGTGCCTGCCATCTGTGGCCATACCACCCTAAACATGTCTGATCTCATGTAATAGTACCTGCCACCTTGCTTCTTAGTTTTTTGCATGGTCTGAGTGGTATTTCCCATGAGTACTTCAGTTGAGCACATCTCTTCTCAGATAAAGCCCATTAGTTATATATTCAACCCTCAGGAGGAAATAAGATGATAACATTTAGGATATACTAGACAGAACAAATGTGGTAGAACAGAATACCCTTGAAAAACAAAAATAGGAAAAATGCAGTATCGTGGCTAGGGGAATGTAAATCGAAGACACCAAGGGTCAGTAATCTAGGAGCCCCTTAGCTAGATGATTCAGGTTAGAATCTCTCAGGAGATTATAGTCACACTGTCAGCTGGAGTATCCATCTTCTGAAGCTTTCCTTGAGCTGGAAGATCTGCCACTAACCTCATTCACATTGCTTTTGGCAAGAGGCTTTAGTTCTTCACCATGCAGTAGGACTGCTTATGGCATAGATTTTGCCAGAGTGAGTGACCAAAGAGAAGAAGAAATGTATCACCAATAATGGAAGCTGCAGGGAGTGAGAATATATCCTCAGAAATGGAGTACCACCCCTTCTGTATTTTATTGGTTACGTGAACACTGACGCAATGCACAAATCATTGGGAGCTATGTTATGGGGTGGCTGGCATATATACAGGTAAGACTCACAGTCTCACTATGTGCGAACAGTCTAATGAGGTAAGAATGGCTCCTATTCAGTTGATCATCAGTGGTACATGTATTAACTAATTTATTTTGATCAAATGAGTATTTGGTCTTATTTTTCTTTGCTCATATTTCTGTGCCCAATCAGTTAAATATTTTATTCCCAAAGATATGTATTACATCCTCATTTTATAGATGTTGAATGTGAGATATCTAGATCCCCAGTGCTTCCTCAAATAAATGCTGGAACTGGGGAGGGGTTGTTTCTACTTACTTTTATATTAATATTAATATTTTCTATTATAAAGAATGAATAAAGAAAATAATTAAGAAATCTGTTGAGTCACTTGTTTTTATACTCTTACTGTTGCTGACTTTGATTTAACATAGCTATTACTACGAAAGTCACTAAATATAAATATTTACTACTTAAATATTAATTTAGTGCTATTGCTTTTTGTGTCACAGGTTTTACAGCCCTGTGACTTGTTTTATCAGGCTACTCAGATAGGTACCGATCCACAATTGATTGATATATCAGTAAAATCCCTTACACTAAAGGTAAGTTAATCATTCTGATCCTTAGTATACTTTTTAAAATTAGTAAAACCTGGAAATTATTATAATAGCAAGTCTTGGGATTATTAAACATAAACTGAATTTATTTTTTTATTTTTATTTTTTTTGGTACCAGGGATCAAACTTGGCTCCTTGCGCTTGCACAGCAGGCGGTGAAACCAGAGAGCTAAATCCCTGGCCCCAAAATGAATTTACTTTTAAAAATATTTTTATGAGACATTATTTTCAAAATATTTAACTCAGATTTTTATAATGAATGTGGTATTTTTGTTGTTGACATGTGACTGCTTTTGTAGTTATATCTAATATCCTGATATGTATAGTTGAAATTACAGTTTAATATTTACAAAATTAGTGTAATATTTTTTTAAATTGAGATTAGTTATGGTAATTTAGATTTTTGGTAGGCAACAAATTGTATCTACTGTTTCATGGTAGTGATGTTCAGTATTCCTTGATTACTCAGCAAATGTAATTAGTATATTTTGAAATAAATGTTTTTCCATTTAGGTTTCACCAGTTACCATAAATACCATGATTACTATAACTTCAGCGCTTTATACAACTAAGGAAACCATCCCCAAAGAAACGGCTTCTTCTGTAGCACAATTATGGGAAAAGAAGGATACAAAGAATTTAAAAATGTGGTTCCTTGAAGAATCAAATGAAACTGAAAAAATAACTCCTACAACTGAATTGGTACCCAACGGAGAGATGATGAAAATAAATATTGATTCTATTTTTATAGTTCTGGAAGCTGGAATTGGCCATAGGACAGTGCCTATGCTTTTAGCAAAATCACGTTTTTCGGGGGAAGGCAAAAACTGGAGCACATTAATAAATCTCCATTGTCAGCTTGAGCTAGAAGTAAGCATATTTGTTGTTTTTTTAGTTCTTATAACAATGCCACACAGAGTATTGTGGGAATCTTACTATGCTATTTTAATTCAGCTTATAATAAATATGATGGCTTTATAGCTTTTGAAATGAAGTTTACAAATGTGTGTTGTTGAATGATTTTGTGTATGTGTACATTACTTTTATTTTTAGAGTATGTATCCACATTAAGTATATATTTCAATTTATTTTATGTAAAATGATATATTAATAGATAGTTGTTCATTGGGTTCAGAATTCTTATTTTTAAGAATTAAAATTAAATAACTTTTTTCCTTTAAAAGACTAAATTTCTGAATACTTGGATACTCTCTTTTTTTTGGTACCGGGGATCGAACTCGGGTCCTTGTGCTTGCACAGCAGGCAGCGAAACTGGATACTCTCTTTTAATAGCAATGTGAACAATTAGAACAAAAATGTTTTGCTTCACAATTGATCTACATAAAATTATTTTCAAGGATATTGTGGTTTAAATGATTTGACCTTATATGTATTGAAAACTAATCTGATATATTCTACTTTATGAAAGTGATTATAAAAATATATAAGCTTCTGTATTATTTAAGTGTGCTGACACAGTTATACTAAGTTATAACTGATGAACTAGATTACAATTTTGTATTCAGATTATAATTATGATATTTTGCAGAGGATTTCGTCTAGGATGTCCACCTGGTTAGAGTCATTAAAGCATTCATTAAATCATATACTACTTGTCTTCAAGGGTGTTTAGTCAGTGGAGGAACTTGTTTTAAAATGTCAGTAATATGTGATAGGTGAACATACTGTTTGATCTTAGTTTAGTCTACAAGTCAAAGAGGGTCTTATCGGAGCTAAATTGTGAAAGATAAGTACAGACTACTATAAGGTTGTCCAGGTGATGAAAATGCTGAGGGATTTGAAGCTATTGGATGACAGGCAGCTAGCACAACCAAAAGGCCTTAGTCGGGGGAGCACATGGAAGATCATTTTAGAAAATGACAGATGCTTCATTAAAAATAAAAATTCTCTCTTTAGGTTCATTATTATAATGAAATGTTTGGTGTATGGGAGCCTTTGCTTGAACCCTTAGAAATTGATCAGACTGAGGATTTTAGACCATGGAATCTGGGAATCAAGGTATGAGAGAGAGAGAGAGAGGGAGAGAGAGAGAGATTATGTGCGTGTGTGTGTGTGTGTGTGTGTGTGTAAAGAGTGTTTTCATAGTTTTAGCTTCACACAAATTTGAGGAGATAACAGTTTTCCTGTGAATCGTCTGCCTCTGTGTATGTATGATTTCTTTACCAATATCCCCCATCAAAGTACTGTATGTCTGATGTCTGAACACTTTTTTCAAAACTCTGCGCTGTCTCATTAGATACTTTAGTTTGAATCATAGCAGCGTTGAAGTTTTCCCATCATAAGCCTTGCCTACATATAATTTTGAAATCCAAGGCCAGTGCTACCTATCCTAATACAAATAATTGTGTAACATTAATTATATACTAGACATTTTTCTGAATAATGTGTCTTTGCTTTAACCCTTACAACAACTCCCTGAAAGAAACCAAGTTTTTAAGTTTGTTTTTTGTTTTTTGGTAACGGGGATTGAATTCGGGTCCTTATGCTTGCAGGGCAGGCAGCAGAACCACTGGGCTAAATCCCCAGCCAGAATCTTAGTTTTTAATCAACATTTGAACATATGAAGGGAATAAGACTAGAGAGTTTAATGGACTTCCTTCTCTAAAGTAATATAGTACAGTAATAGCTACAAAATGGAAGAGGTGAAAGTAAATTCAGCTGCAGTCTCCACTCTTAACTGCTTTATTATATTGCTCTGTCATATATTAGCACATGCCATCCTCTTGTAGGTAGTGGTCTATCCTGTGTTTTCTTTGTCCTTTGAAGGGACTATCTATCTATCTAGAAAACATATTATTTGCTTGAAATATATTATGAGTTTATGTATTTATGAGAATCAGGGCCCTTAAATGGAAGTTGTGCTTCTAAAGCAAGAGATTGCAGAATTACCAGCATGGTATCTGCTTGATAATGATTGACTCAACTTGAAAATTTTCAGGGGCTTAAAGCTACTTAAAGTAACAATAAAACTCCCTAGCTTAGCGTATGTGCCTCAATTTTAGTAAATAATTTAATTTTCTAGATATTTTAGGTGAAAAACTTGAAATTAAAATTCCTTTGGTGGTTTTTAGGTGGAACATGCATGTGCAGTGGATCTATTAATTCTAAACTTAGGAGTCCTGTGTTTACAGCACTGTTCTGCCACTCTTTTTTTTGTACCAGGGATTGAACTCGGGTCCTTGTGCTTGCACAGCAGGCGGCGAAACCACTGGGCTAAATTCCCAGCCCCTGCTCTGCCACTCTTGTCTGACTTTGTGAGTCCTTAGGTTTCTGTTCTTTATTAGAATGACTAAAGGACTACCCTACAGTACTTTCTTGGCTATGTTTTTGTGAAGTATGTGCTTTTCATTTACATTCAAATGCCACATACATTTAGTGATTTCAGAAATTTTTTTTCCTAAATTGTGCTTGCCACATCACTGAGAATGAGAAATTATTTTCTAATATAGTACTGCCCCTGTCCTTTGTGACCTGAGTTGGCACATCCAGGTATTTCATTATGGTAGAGGCAGTGAAACACATAATATTTAGTGTTTTCTCTAGTGGTATTGAGAGTTTTCTAATTTTTTTTTTTACTGTGCATAAAGAGTGATGATGTGCTCCTAGATCCAAATTCTTATATGTCTATGATTTATCATTTTAGATGAAAAAGAAAGCCAAAAAGGCCATAGTTGAGTTTGATACTGAAGAGGAAAACTACAAAGTGCCAGAGTATAAAACTGTCATCAGTTTCTATTCAAAAGACCAATTAAATATTACATTATCCAAATGTGGCCTTGTAATGTTAAATAATTTAGTCAAGGTAAGAAAAATGAACCTTTAAATGTTGAGCTACTATTCTATGTTGACCTTTTAAATAAATAAATTTATCATTATCTTAGTTATTTGTCATGTGTCCCTTAGTATTCTGCTTATCATTTAGTTTTCCACATTTATTTAAGGAAACTTTCCCTTATTAGGCATTTACAGAAGCTGCTACTGGATCTTCAGCGGTCTTCATAAGGGATCTAGCACCATTTATGATTTTGAATTCTCTTGGACTTACTATATCAGTTTCACCAAGTGATGCTTTTAACGTACTCAGTGTTCCTATGGCAAAATCGTATATATTGAAAAGTGAAGAGAGTTTAAGTATGGATTATGTGGGAACTAAGGACAATGATCACTTCAGTGCGATGACCAGTTTAAGCAGCAAACTCTTCTTCATTCTTCTTAGTAAGTGTTGTATTTCCTTTTTGAAGCTTTAATTACATTTTGCATGCCATATTACCCATTTGTAGTATATTACTACTTACTGATTTGTTTTGCTTTTAAACCTCTTTTGTAATAGGTTTGGCAGCCTTTTTCCCCCTTTACAGTGCTTTGATTCCTTTTGACAATAAGTCTTTGTATTACAAATTCTGACTTTACTAGTTTCCTGAATTAATTAGAGCATGAGCTGTTACGGGGAAGAAAAATATTAGATTTCACCCAGCTTTTATAGGATCATAGATATTGGTGATAGGTGTTTTAACCACATATGATATAATTTGGTAGGTGTTCCACCAATTTTGTATATGAATAAATTCAGAAAAGTTTGAATCCATGCAAATGGTTTTGGGATTTGTAAATGGGTTCTTAATGTTCTGCCTATTGAAGTGAAGCTTTTTTCCTTTGACTTTTCTGACCCGTAAGTGTTTCATTTGTATGGGAGATAAAAGTATATAAATTCTTAAATTATCAGAAAATCTAGCCATTGCGAATTTAAATAGCCCAAAACTTTACCAATAGTACTTTCTGATATACTGACATTTAAGTAGTTACTGAGACAGAGATCATCACTTAAAGGATAATTAGAAATAGGAATGCAAGTTGCTAAAACAGCTAATTCTCTTCAGGAAATAATGTATGGCAGGTATTTCAGGTATTGTCAGAATTATCAATGTTCTTTTTATCAATTTTACCTCTATTTTTTGTTTGTTTGTTTTGTTTGCTTTGCTTTTGAACTAACGTTTATATGGATATAGGAGTAAAATGTATGTAAAGAAGTAATTTTACCCCAACATAATGTGTATGTTAGGTGTATATATATTCAAAATTTTGTTTAATCAAATCCAAGATATATCTAAAAAGTAACACAGGTAATTGGAAAAATTAAAAACAGGTTTATTTGCCAGTATGTGAAAGTATTAGGCTCAGGTTATTATGACAGCAAACCGTAGATTATTGTTCTTGAATTTTATAATTCTTCTCATTACTCAGTTGTTTTTAAAAGATTTAGTATTATTTTAGGTTAAACTCCTGAATGTTTTTGTTTCAATTAAAAATTTTTGTTTTAGTAAAATGCTATGAGATTTTCTGCCCATACGGTGGAAGTGGTGGCTCATTAAAGTATCCCCTTGTATGGATACATTCAAAGACTTCAGTGACATTAATTTTAAGACAATCAGCTAATATGTTTGGTTTTTACTATGTACCTAAAATTAATATATAATGAATTATAATAAAAATTTTTAATATGTTTTTAATTTAGCCCCTGTTAACCACTCTACTGCTGATAAGATTTCTTTAACAAAAGTGGGACGACGTCTATACACTGTAAGACACAGGGAATCTGGAGTTGAAAGATCTATTGTTTGTCAAATTGATGCAGTGGAAGGAAGTAAGAAAGTAACAATCCGCTCACCGATGCAGGTATGAAGTGACCAATTTTAGAAGAGACCTTGTTATGCCTATCTGTGAACTAATAAAAACTTTAAGAATAGATTATTACCAAAAAAATAAAAACTGTAATAGAAATCCAGCTAATATTCAGAAAGGACATCTCATGACTAATAATTATGCTACTGAAATATGACTAGTGGGAAATTTCATTCATTATGCTTCTCACAGTGTTTTATAGGACTGTTAAAATATTTTTGTACATTGTTTTTCTCTAATAAAATAAATATATGTCCTTTTATGGTAGGGAATTTTTATTAACTTTATTAGAGAAAAAATTACAGATTTATTGAGGAATGTATAATAAACTGCATATATTTGACACAGTAATACACTTATGAACCTTCAAAGTATTTAAATATATTCAAATATATTTATTACTCAAAAAAACTTTCCCCTCTTGCTACTTTCCCATTTCTACAGATCCACTGATCTGTTCTCACTTTACATTAGTTATGTAGTCTTGACTTTTACCTAAGTGTATTGCAATACAGAATAGAATTTTGACTTCTTTCACTCAGTGAAATCTTTTATCGATTTCTGTATTGTTACATGCAACTACGTGTATTTCCTGAGAATTAATCTATTTTATGGAAGTATCACATTTCCATTTTGAGTGAACTTTTTTATATATTGAGAGATAAGGATTGAGGTTCAGTTTTTTACATATGACTATTCCGTTGTCCCAAACCAGATTATCTTTGTTCTATTGAATTGCCTTGACATTTTGGTCAAAAATGAATTTACTATATATACTGATGGGGTTTTTTTCTGGGTTCTCTTTGTATCATTGATTTGTTTATCTTTATCCCAGTATTACAACTTGATTACTACCTTAATGTAAGTCTTGAAATTAGATAGTACAGGTTTATTCTTTTGGTTCTTATAGGTCCTTTCCATTTTCATTTAAATTTTAGAATCAGATTATCAATTTTTATCAAAACTTTGGTTAAAATTGACTTTTCAAATTATAATTTCTAGTTTTCTACTACCAGCATTTGGAAATATAGTTTATTTTTATATTCACTTGTGTTTACAACCTTACTAGACACAAGTATTTGTTCTAAAAGATGAGACAGTTTTGTAGATATAAACAGTTGTGATATTAGCAAATATATTTTTACTTCATCCGTTTCATTTTTCTTGCCTTTCCTCTGTTAATTGAAATAATTAAAAAAATTTTTTTAATGTGAATTCAGTTTTACATGTTAAATGAGCCTTACATTCCGAGGATAAGTCTTACTTGAATATGAAGTATTATCAAACTGTTAGTATACTGTTGTATTTGATTTACTAAAATTATGTTCAGAATTTTTACATTTATGTTAATGAAGGGTCTTGGTCAACAGTTTTGAGGTCTTGTGGAAAAGTTTATATCAGTGACAAATTGAATATAAAATTTATTTGAAATTGTGTTTATAATTTTAAAAACTTGATTGTAAAACTTATACTTGATGTCTGTTTGAATTCTCTAAACATTGATTTCTGGTTTGATACAGCCTCTTTTCTTTAGAAACATTTTTCAGTGGTATTTTTTTATTGAGAAATTTTTATAGTATAGACCTGTCCATCGTATGGAATATAACAAATGTTGACATTTAAAATTTTACCTTCAAATTTTAAAAAAAATTGAACTATTTTGTTTCCTTTAGTCTGCATTCCCTCTTTTTTCTTCCCTAGAAAAAATATTATTTTAGTGACATGACATATATATTTATTTTCCTATAGCTTTAAAATTCTTAAGTATGTGTATAAAATATGTATTATTTGTGTTTTCAGCTGTGGTTGTATATTGTTACATGAATATGAGAATTTGAAGAAAATTTTATTAAACATTCCATTATTCATGAGATTCTCTTTTTCCCCCTTAAAAATCAGTGTTCTATTGAACATGACTAGCTTTTGATGCACATACATAAATATTTCTCTCGTATGTAACAAGGAAGAATAATTGCTAAGTGTTAAGATGAATTTCTATTTCTACTAGTTTTTTCTGAATTATTTTCCAAAGTTACTAGTTTACATTTTTAATGGTATTGTACCAGTGTGCTGTTTTCATCATTTGTAACTGTTAGAATGCAAGAATTCTGATTATGCCAGTCTGTTAGTGTGAATGTAATTACTGTATGTGATAATTATTTTAACTTGTATTTTGTTGATTCCTAGATAGGTTATCTTTTTTATCTGTTTCTTAGTTACACAGTTTTTCCTCTTTTGTCAATTACTTGTTTATATTGTTTGCATTTTCCTCTGAATTGCAGCTTAAAGAGTTTTAGGATTTTTGTGTCTACCTGGTTATGCATCCTTTGATGAATATATTGCAGACATTTCCTAGCCTATGACATGTTTTTCACTTTCATCCCATAAATGTTTAAAATTTTGATAAAGCTTTTTCTATGAATTGTTTTTGTACTATTTGTATTGGAACAAAAACATGTCTCTAAACAAATTAACTCTACCCTAATGTCAAGAAGGTATTAATTTACTCCCTTCTAAGATGTTTGAAGTTTCAAGATTCCTTTTCTGTAAAACTGGATACACTGATATACTTTTTATTATAAAGTTATATATTTATTTCTTCTAATTTATATGAAAAAGACACATGGTGCACAATACTCTGTTTATTAGGATATTTTTAGAAGGACATTTTAAAAAATGTATTTATATTTTTTGATTAATAATATTAAGTACAATATCATTGTTTTTTTGTTGTTGTTGTTCCTAGATTAGAAATCATTTTTCAGTCCCAATCTCTATTTACGAAGGAGACAGTTTATTGGGAATTGCTTCACCTGAGAATGAATTCAACATACCATTAGCATCTTACCGGTGATTTTATCTTTTTGTTTGCTCTACCTTCTTTCATAGAATTTTTATTTTTGGATTTTGTATGGATACTTGTCTTTAAATTATAAAATCTACCTTATTAAATATCTCATCTAAGTTATTTAAATTTCAAGGCACTTGAATGCCTCTCTTTTCAAAAACAAATATTATTTATGCATTTAATTTATACCAGGTAAATTATTTATGCTTTTACTAACAAGTACAATTATTACTTAGGTGGTTCTTTTTAAAAAGAAATATTTAATATATTTAATTTATACCATGAGCATTATATTTTTACTAATAAATACAGTTATTTCATGCCTATAGTTTTAACCATCATAGCCACTGTCATATATGTTCATGACTTGTAAAAATATTTTAAGGGAATATGATACGTAGTTTGAGGATTTATATATCATGAATTGAGTTTTACTTTTCAAAGGCTTTATAATAGAGGTTTTTAAAAATGATTTTAGAAAACAAAATATTTTATCTCCTATATATTGTTAATTATTCAATGATAGTTTTAATGTAAATACAGTATTCTTTAATACCTACTTGATAATATATTTTTAAAAAAAGATTTAGCAAAATAGTGATGATCTAGTCTTATAATTCTGAATTTAATATGTTAACAAATAAATATTGCTCAGGATATTCAATGTGGAATTGAAAGTAATCTCTTCTGTGGAAATTGAACTCTTTTGGAGAATAAAACCTCCCCTAGAATTAAGCATTGTAGTTTATTTAAATACCATTTCAAAACATGCACTACAAGTGGACACTTTCACCGGTGCTATAGAAAAAAAAAAGGCAAAGCTACAAGTAGTTCTTAATTGTTTCCTACCTCTATTCATCCTGACTCAGGCCAAGAAGTTTAATATAGGACAGTGGTGACAAACCTATGGCATGTGTGCCACAGCTGTTTGTTATCATTTAAAGTTCAAAAGTATTCTTCATCACTGGTGTAGGATCTCTAATGCTTAGGAAACAGTCTAGCATGTTTGGCCATACACTTTCACATAGATCTAGAAACACTAGTGAGTGTTTTGTTGTTTATTTCAAATATGCTGAGGGAGGAATTGTTGGGAGAATAGTGACAAAAAATAATTGTTTACAATATCTATCTTCTAGAAAGGATTTGGAGCCAGTTACAAGACTGGATGAAGTTAAAGATATATTTAAAACTTTCTATAAAGAACTTTAAATTCATTTTTTTCTTATATAATAGTTAATGGCATTCTGCTTTTTAATTTCTGCTATATATCCTATAATTCTGGCCATAGAATAGAGATAATAGTATTGTTATGCTCTTTTGTTCAAGGATAACTATTAATTCACTACATAATAGTTAATCTATCTTAACTATTATTATTATTAGTGAGTAGCCAGTTTGATGTTTGCATAATCTAGGTGTTTTTAATCTGATTACGTAGATGTCGATTCACTTAAATATTTAAGAAATGAGGCATTAAGTTAACAAATCATTACCTTTCTCTGTTGAGTTTGAATATACTGATTCCTAAGTTTAATGAACAAATACTTGCTAAGTATTTTGTTGTGGGTGAAACACTATAGATACCAAAATGGATTGAATGTAACTGCTACCATTGAGAGATTGATATATTATGTAAATATGAACATAAGGTTGGAAACGTGGGTTGTAGAGAATTACAGAAAGTGTTACAGTTACAGGAAACTTTGGAAAACAAAAGATCAATGATTGACTCCTGGTGGTGGTACATGAAATTAAGGTAAAATATAGTAATGTTGAGATGAGATTGGAAGGGCAGTCTAAGTGGAAGGATTTACATTGAGGAAAAGGAGGCATGAAAGGATAGGAAGTTTGTTTACTTGGGATTTCATTGTGATGTAGTATGGAGTACATAATGGAAGGTGAAATTTGAACAGTACTTTGAATTTAATTAGTCGCTCCCTCATTTTCTTGCTCCTACTTTATAAATTTTATCCCTACTTGTTAATATCATGTTTTTTCTTTCCTGTTTCACATTTAATGTTCATCACTTTTAAAACCATTTAACTATCTCCTTTCATTTAGAATCTCCTGCCATTGATCATCTTTCTGTTCTGTTGTGTCTTGTTTTTTTTTTTGGTATCAGGGATCGAACTCGGGTCCTTGCTCTTTCAAGGCAGGCGGCGGAGCCACTGAGCTAAATCCCTGGCCCTGTTGTGTCTTCTTTATTCACTTCCTGAACTTTCTTTTAACTCATGTATTTCTCTAACTCAAGTCTTCTCTTCAGAGCACAATTCTTTGGGAAAATTTTTACCTCTGCAAAACACCCTAGCGCCTGTCTAGACAGGGTTGACTACACTGTCAGGCCCTAGCCCTTCTCTATTCATATGTTTTTTGATTTTTGTTACCTATCACAATATAGTAGTCTAGATTTCCTGATTGTGATCTTACTGTGAGTAAAAAATGTCTTACTCGTTTGTGTATTTTAGTTTTGCCTTCTTATAACAGACCCAGTAAATGTTTTGATCAACTAAATAATTGTGTTGGCTTTATTTTAATTTGTAAAAAATTAATTTTTTAAAAATATTAGAAGAATGGAAAGTGTAATGAAAATTATAGAAAAAATATAACAGTACAACGGGCTAAATCTGAAACTGATTTGATAAATCTATGTGTGCATCGGGGGAGAAGGAATAGTCAGTATTGTTTTAGTCAATTGTTAGTATCTGAAAGTCACTTGAAAAAAGATGCGCAGGATAGTGAGTATGGAGGATTCAGTGTTCAGTTTAGCAAATTTAAGGTACCAACAGACCTCATTACAGATCTATGTGGTAGCTATTTAAAATTTTAGGCTAGAGCTTAGGAATGGAGATACTTTCAACAGTTTATTTAAAAAGTATAATCACAATCATAGGCTATTAGTTTTACAAATAAAAAGTATTTCTATGGGCTAAGAGTATAGTTCAGTGGTACAGTACTCAGCATGTGTGAGGCCGTGGTCTTTTGCACTACAAGAAAAATGTACAAAAAAATAGTATTTTACAAGTCTTTATTCTTAGACATAGCTTAGATTAAGAAGTTATTGCACCTAAGAACATTGTTAAAATGTAAATGAATAATCTGATATTTGAATATCAAGACTAATAATGTGATATCAAATGATTTTGTTACATTTTCTTATAACCATTATTCTGCATTTGTGCTCTACATGTCATTGTCCATTGAAACAGTCATTTATTTACTTTGGATAGCTGATAATTATTTTTTTAGTAGAAATTTTTATTAAATCAGTCATGTTTACTTTTTGCTAGGACCACATTCCAGGAAATCCAGTTTCTTTTGGTTAAATGTGTGAGTCATAGATGATTGTTAGTGGTTTGCTTTGCATATGTGATTGATATGATTGTGTATGTTCTGTAAGAAACTAGATGTTATCTTGTAAATGTACTTCTAAAATGTAAGTTGGTGATAAAAATATTCTCCTTATAGCCAAATAACTTGATAAGTTTCCAGAAAATTGATACTTATTTATCTTATCTAGTTCTAAAAAGTATATGAAAATTAAAAATTTATTATACAGTTATGGAAATAATTTTCTTCTAGAGCTGTAATCATATAATTTGTTTTCTTTCAAAGCATTTTGAAGCATATTGTTTACTCTTTTATGTAGATCATTCCTTTTTCTGAAGCCAGAAGATGAGGACTATCAAATGTGTGAAGGAATGGACTTTGAAGAAATTACAAAAAGTGATGGGGTTGTTCTAAAGAAGAAATGTAGATCTGTAAACCCTTCTAAAAAATCGTTTATTATTAATGTTGTTCCTGAAAAAGATAATTTGACATCTCTATCAGTATATTCAGAAGATGGTTGGGACTTACCATACATAATGCATTTGTGGCCACCAATCCTACTCCAAAATCTTCTCCCTTACAAAATTGCTTATTATCTAGAGGTATGCTGGAATTGGGGGGCCGGGACTTCAGGAGTGTTTCAGTAGTGTTCCTGACTTTGATTTTGTAGCTTGAATTATTTAAAATTGTGAGCAGTAAAAAAAGTTTTGAAGCTGTAACATAGGTTATAGTACTAATAAAGAATAATAAGTACTGTACAGATATTCTAATGGAAATGTTTTAATCATGCATAAAAATATAATTTAAAAGAAAATGTTTTCTAATTTATCTTAGAAATCTGACTGCTAAGGTAAATGCAAATTATATATCATATTATAAATGTAATATACAGTCCTTTAAAAAATGTAAAGACTGTAGGTAATAAAATTGCCTATAATCACCATCTGAAGATAACACTTTTTTTAGGAGAAATATTTTTCAGTCTTTACCATGTAGATGTATTTTTTATACGTGTTTAATAGTGAACACTAACTTTTGAAAGAAGTATGAAAATCAGTGTTAAAATAACACTCAAGTACTAGAGCAAATAATTTTTTGTACTTTATATAATTTTTTTAGTCTTAATTCTATAAAAGTATCACATGATCTAGAAAGGTGTTTTTCTCTTAAATGCTCCTTATTTTGTCATATTCATTGTGGTTCCCTCCTGTTGTTATAACAGGAATCTCTATTCTGGGATTTTATGAGAATATTCTATTTGTTGTACTTACCTGATAAAGTATACTAAAATATACTAGTTCTACATTTAGTCTATTGTGATAATTACTATATGTTAAAAACTTTTCTGTTACATTTTGGGGTGGATATTTGTTTTTCTATTTGGGTCACAGCAATTAAGAGTTTGCACATTGCTGTCAATTTTGAGATTTCATCCTAACTCTTAACAGTTACTGATTATACAGGGTTATATTCTTGATCCAAACCTTTTGGGTTTTTTTTTTTTATAAAATGAGGATAATAATAAAACTTGCTTGGCTGGGACATGGAGAAAACCAAATTTGTTAGAATATGTAAAATTGAGGGCTGGGGATTTAGTTCAGTGGTTCTGCCCTCTGTACGAGTTCGATCCCTGGTACCAAAAAAAAAGAAAAGAAAATAGAATATATAAAGAATTTAGCACATAGTTGTCATTTATTAACTGTTCCTAACTCCATTATCACCGTCATTATTTGTGGAATATTTTTAGCATGTAAAAAATCATAATTGACATTACATTTGCTTTAATGAATTAGCAATGTTATGATTAAAATTGTAACACTAGGAAGGAGTCAGGAAAGATATTGGAAAAACTGGTGAGATATGTAGATGTACTATTTACATTTCCCTTCTCATAGAATTTTTAATTTGATGCTTTTAGAGATCACATTCTGCTTTCCAGTTTCCAAAGGATATGATTTTTTTTTTTTTTTTCCTGTACTGGAGATTGAACTCAGGACCTTGTGCTTGCAAGGCAGGCGTGGTGCCACTGAGCTAAATCCCCAGCCCAGATATGATCTATTTTTATAAAGACAATTTAAGTATGATGTGGAGAAAGGGACTATAGAGGGCCAGTGTGATTAGGAGACTCTCAAAACGATTGGTCATAGATACTAGAGCTAATGTAATGGAAGTGTGGGTGGAGTGAAATAAACAATTTTGAGAAATACATACAGCTTATGCAGTTTGCTAACTTAAAACTTGAATGTTAGTCTTCTAACTTGTCTGACAGGTATTTTCAAGCACATTTTATGTAGCATTTGGAATAATTAAATGGGGTTTGGGGGCATATATTCAAAGACATTTTTTAATTTATTGCTTTTTCATTACAGGGGATTGAAAATACAGTTTTTACTCTAAATGAAGGATTATCAGCCCAGATTAGTGCTGTACAAATGGACAAAGCCAGACTACATTTAAAATTACTTGACTATCTTAATCATGATTGGAAAGGTGAATATCGCATAAGATCTAATCAACAGGACATTAGTTTCATCACTTTTACCTGTGTTACAGAAATGGAAAAGACTGACTTAGATATTGCTGTCCACATGACTTATAATACTGGTCAGACTGCGGTAGCATTTCATAGTCCATATTGGATGGTTAATAAAACTGGTCGAATGTTACAGTACAAAGCAGATGGAATTCATCGAAAGCATCCACCTAATTATAAAAAGCCAGTTCTCTTTTCTTTTCAGCCAAATCACTTTTTTAATAACAATAAGGTATGTAACTTTTTTCTAACTTTCACTCTTTAGGTATTTGACACACCTTTTCATTTTTAAAGTTCTGGAGAATAAAATAAAATTTAGATAGAAATAATATAATAAATAAATAATTTGAGATTAAACAGCATTTAATATCGATAAAGGTTTAGTATGTTAACAATACAATATTTAGTTCAGGATGAAAAGAAAATTTATCAATTTAAATAAGCATTTTTAAAGATAATTAAACTAATATATTTAACACTTTTTTCCTAGGTTCAGCTTATGATAACTGATAGTGAATTGTCAGATCAGTTTTCAATTGACACAGTTGGTAGTCATGGAGCTGTTAAATGTAAAGGCCCACAGATGGATTATCAAGTGAGTTTATTCTTTGCTCAAAAAACTTTTATTTAAAGTGTATCTATTGATTACTGAATTTTTATAATATTAAAATTTTTGAACTGTTAATTTTTTCATAGGTTGGTGTCACTATAGACCTCAGCAGTTTTAACATTTCAAGAATTGTGACATTTACCCCTTTTTATATGATTAAAAACAAAAGCAAATATCGTATATCAGTGGCTGAAGAGGGAACTAATAAATGGCTTGCTCTTGATTTGGAGCAGGTAAGTAGATGAATTTCAAAAATGTACCTCTTTGGGTCCTCTTTTCTTCATTAATTTAGATGCCAGAAAAGACCATATAATATTTTAGCCTTCCTCCACCCCAGTTTTGTTTCAGTTCCATGAACTTTTATTGAGTTTTGGTGGTAGGCTACAGATATTTAATGTTTTCTTTTTTGGTACTGGGGATCGAACTCAGGACCTTGCACTTGCGAGGCAGGCGCCAGAACGCACTGAGCTAAATCCCCAGCCCTTAGATATTTAATTATTAAAAACTGGAACTTGCTCTCTACAAGCACAGAGCCAGGAACGTTGATATTTAACCGTTACTAACCAATTTGGTTAAGTACTGCAGTAGAAGGATATATTCAGTATATGTGCATCCCCAAGAAGCTGTTAGGAATTCCTTTACAAAGTAGGTTAAGACAAGCTTGATTCAAGTTGTTTGAAGAAGGTAGGAAGTGTAAAATTTTAATTCTAGGTCATTAGAATGCAATTTTAATTCTAGATCATCATTAACTGTCAGGCCTCTGGATAAGTTTTTTGAATGATTGAGGTTGATAGAATATTTTGCTTTTGAAGAAATTTTATCCTCAGTGTAAGAGATGTGTTTACTATATTTAATCAGTTTTTTCTTGTACATAAAACTATCCTTGTAGGAACATTCTTCTTAAATTTTTGGAATTTCCTTTAGAGCTTATTTTGAAGTTAATGTTGGTTTGTGTTTATCTGTAAAGCTCTTATCATTGTCTTTCTTTTATGATAGTTTTTCTTGACACCAATTTTAGGTGGATATTCTCAACATTTGGTATATGCTCCATTGCTGTCTCTACCATTTTTTTAATTGAAAATTATGTGATGATTATACCATTTCTTTGGAAATGGCTTTCTTTTTTCTCTGGCTCCCATGGAGGTTTTTCTTCTCATTGTCTTTGATGTTCATAGTTACATTACTGTGTATCTACTTACAGGTTATTTGTTATTTATCCTACTTGAGATACTTTACTCCTAGATCTGTGGATTAGTGTACTTCATATTTTCTGTAAAACTTGCTACTAGTGTCGCTTTAGATATTGCCTTACCTTTGTTTTTCTGTTTTCTCCTTCTGGCTCTTTATTTAGACATGCTAGATATTTATATTCTCCATGTATCTTACTATCTTTTTTATCTTTTCTATCAGCTTACTTCTCTCTGCTGCATTCTGGATAAATTCTACATGTGTCTCTTGCTTTTTTTTTTTTTTTTTATCCTTTTCCATGTCTAAACTGCTGTTTAAGACTGCAACTGAATTTTTAAATTTGAATAATTATATTTCTTATTTCCAGAAGTTTCTCCTTTTTTCAAATCTGTTCATTCTTTTTGTAAATACTTTTATGGATTTTTTGCACATTTTGCAGCATATCTATTAACAAAATCACAAATTTCTGTCCTTATGTAGTTTTCAATTCAGTGAGCGCAAAGGGAAACGTAATAGCATAGTCAGTAAAATATATAGTATATTTGAAAGTGACAAGTCTAGTGGAGGAAATCGAAAACAGGCAAGATTAAGGGCATTGAGTTCTGAAGAGGAAAAATTGGACCATAATTTTTAGGAAAATGATCAGGACAGGACTCACTGAAGTCATGTTTGAACCAAGACTTGGAGGACATGAAAGAATGTCAAGAGTTCAGCTGAGTAGGAGAGAACAGAGCTGACAGAAATAAAGAGTTGTTAGGACAAATGAGAGTACAGTTAAACCTTTATTTACTGTGAGTAGTATAAACATGAGGCTAAATCAGAGAAAACACCCATTACCTCTTATTCATTTTCCCCATCTAATGGTATCAGTCAAGGGTCAGGTGGACTGGCACAGACATGGGGGTTGGCTTCCAACAATTTTATGAACCTGAGGTGTAGAGGAGGGCAATGAGGAAGAACTAAGAATAGAAAAGTACTGAGCACTAAGAAAAAAATATCTTCAAAGTTTCTGCTATCTTCTATCCCTTTTACATGTTTTGGAATGCTAAGATTGCAGCTCTAGCTTTTCTTTGCTTTATATACTTCACATATTTTTCCATACTTACAGGTTTTATCTTAATTTATATGGGTCTCAGATATTGTTGGGTCTTGATTGTATTTTAAAAACAACCTGTAGACTCAGCAGTTCATATTTTCATTATGCAATTAGAAATGCATGGCAGCTTTTTAAAATTTTACTTTCTGTTTCTTTTTGTTTTCAATTTCAGCTTAAAATAAATTGTCCTTTGCTAGTTTAAAATTTTTATATTCTGATTTTGGCATACCGGGATCAACCTTACCTTAAGATACATACCTATAATTATTACCTCTCTTGATTTGTTAAACTTACAGCTCTATTTTCCTGCTACAAAAGACAAAAATTTTAGCACTTTCTAAAGACCCAAAAGGTCCTACACATAACATTTAAAAGTGACAGTGTATATTATTAATCATAAAAGATATATCATTAAGCCAGTACTATCAAGGAACAGCAACAGCCTTGAGAATGTTTAGAATGCCCATCATGTTTAGTCCTCTTGGTTCCTCGTAGGAAATATACTTGGATTAGCATTGCTTCTGTTTTAACTCTACCAGGTCAGTTCCTTTTAGAATGCAGGAAGTCTTGAGTGGAGAAACCTTCTGAGTATTGTAAACTCTTAACCTTGTGCTACATCTAGTTCATTTTATGGTTAAATAAAACTGCCATTAGCAAGCTAAGATACTTAGCTCTAACAACCAGTTTCTGTTACATATCGTCCTCACGTTGTATATGATAATGATTAGATATCACTAACATCTCATTGAAAAATGTAAGGAGATCAACCTGGGCAGGGCCTAAGGAGTTGACTTCATAGTTTACAGACAAGGCTGCTTCTCTGTTGTTTATTCTCGAGCACTTTTTGTATCCAGCTCTCCAGACTTTCTAGTGCCTTGTCAATCTCCTATTCCTTTTGTTTGGTTTCCAGATCACTGTTGTACAGGATGTTCCTTAAAAGATGCTAAACTTCTTTCTCGGCACTTCAGTTAATTCTTTTACCTTTTTACTCTTACTTGATGACCAGGACCCTAAATTTAATCTATATCTTGATTCATCATTTTGTGTGTATTTTGACTTCTAATTAATTACCAAATCATGCCTACAAAATAATTTTTGTTTTTAGCAACTGGATGTAACCTTGCTTTACATTGATCATCTGTGCCCTAGTTCTTTGCTCACTTTACTTACTGAATTTTCAGCCCTTCTCTGTAAGATCTGAACTACATAGAATCTCCTCTCAAGTGCCCTGATTATCATAGCTTTTCAATTCTTACCCATTGCTTTTATTCACAGTGCTCTCTATGTTGACAGTTTATAACTGTTTAGCTAACCAACCTAGTAACCAAAGCAATGTTGGAAGAAATTTTTTTAAGTTTACTATTATGATGAGTTTATACAAATCATACTGTATATTTATGATGAATTACATTTTATTTTTATAAATATATGTAACATGTGTTTTAGTGTATCCCCTTTTGGCCTGAGGATGCTTCTAGTAAACTTCTTATTCAAGTTGAAAACAGTGAAGGTCCTCCCAAAAGGATATATTTTAACAAGCAAGAAAATTGTATTTTATTGCATCTGAATGAGGAGGTGAGTAACTTTTTTCATGTAACATTAGAAAAACTAATATATACTTCCTAGTATTATATTTAACTTTTTTTATATCACATAAGCACCTGGTGATATATTTTCCCTTTTCCTTAAAAGTGGACAAACATTTCTCTTTATAAGAGGAAAATGTACCATGAGGAAACAAGTATAAAATGATTGTTAGGAAGTTAGTTGGACAGCCTAAAATACACTTCTCGAATTTCACTCATCTGTATGCAGTAGAGATTCATGGTTTCCCAAAAATGCATTGCAAAATTCTGAGTTGTTTTTTGAATCACCCCCCAAAATTAAGTGACTACCTTATGAATAGTTTTATTATTAAATGTTCTTAGTTACTGTTCTTGGCAGGATTATCACATTAAAGAATGTTTTCCTTTCTTTTAGCTTGGAGGTATTATAGCAGAAGTTAATTTAGCTGAGCATTCTACAGTTATTACATTTTCAGATTATCATGATGGAGCAGCTCCATTCCTATTAATAAATCACACCAAGAATGACCTTGTTCAGTACAAACAAAGGTAAGAAGATGATCACAAATACAGTACAGTACCTCCTGATTTTATCAAACTCTGGGTGATGAGACAATTTATAACTTTTAAAAAAACAATAATAGTATTAGAGGTATGTAAAACAATGTCTTAATTTTTTGAAGAAATTATAATTAAGTCTAGGTAATGGTAAAACTGCCTTGACATCTGTAATGTTGCTTCTAGTTGCTTCAGAGAGAGAAACATGGAAGAACTAAAGCAAGTGTGGCAAAAGCTTGATGATCATTGTTCATATTTTATGAGAAATATGTCCAAGTTTATCTTGAGTCTCTTGTATCTATTTTTAATTTTTTTTAGATTTTTAGTAAATATAACATAAATTAAATTTTCTGATTTTTGTCAAATGGTAGATATACTTTTCTTGCAGAGGTATGTGGAGAAACAACTGCTTTGTAAAAGACCACAGTTAAATATTGATGTTTTAAGACCACTCTTAACATCACTTCTTTCAATTTGGTGCAGTATCATATTCTCCTTGTGCCACTACAATTTATGCAACTTTATGTTACTGTAATCCCAGGCTGTTAACTTTCTTGTTGCCCAGACACAGTATCCAACACCCACAGTTTATAGGAGGAGAGATTTAATTTCAGTCAATTTCAGGGAGTTCAATCCATGGTCACTTGGCTTCAAGGCAGAAATATGATGTCAGAAGGGCGTGCTGGAAAGCAGAACAGGGGAAGGGTGCTCATCTGGCCAGGACCCATATATATTACCCAAACTTTCACCTCTATGACCCATCCAGACACACCCAGAAGTGTGCTTTACCCAGGAGTGTGTCTGTAGGTGTTTCTTAATTCAGTGAAGTTGTCATATCAGGATTAATGGTCATACAGACTGTTCTTAATTCTGTGTGGCTTTTAATTTCAGTATTTTTCCCCCACCTGTTACTTTTCAGTGGTATGAGTGTTCTCTAGTAGCCTGCTCCTAAAAGGGGCTCACCAACTAAATGTCGCCTCTCCTGGAGTTAGATTTCAGGTTCTTCTCGTCTTGAACAAAGAATTGAACGAAACAAGCAAAGAGCAGTGACATAGTTTATTCGAGAAGGTAAAAGTGAAGAGTGAGGGAGATACTGGCTCTGCAGAGCGAGCTTGGGTCAAGTAAAAGGGGAAAAAGCAATAAAGGACACCCTGGAGAAAGCAGGGCAGACTGTCATAAAGAAAGTCAGGATACCAAGCTCTTCATAGCTTACCTCTTCTTTTATAATGTCCAAATCTCAAGGAAACCCGGGAGAACTTCTACATACAGGTTCTGAGAGGTGGTGCTGGGTTCCCTCACCTCAGGTTGACATCAGGCCCTTGTAGGGCTTTGGAAACTGTTCTGCACACAAGTTCCAGAATCTTTGGAATTAACAGATCATGTCTGCTTCCCTAGCCAGCTTTGCCATGCTCTGCTCTCCTATGTCATTTCCCCCTGAGACACAAATCCCTGTTAGGATTAATGGAATGCTGAGGGAGGGAGTGGAGGTCTCTGTTTTTTTTTTTTTCTGGTACCGGGGATTGAACTCAGTACCTTGTGCTTTCCAGGCAGGTGCAGCACCACTGAGCTACATCTCTGGCTCTTATCTTCTATACCTTCTTCAAGCTGGAAGGGGCCATAGACCCTAGCTACTGGGGATTATGTGCCCCCCCAACTTGCTTGGGGTGGTGGGACTCACTGACAGTTAAAGAAAGGAAAACTTGTCAGGAAACAATGAGAAAAGAGTTAATGACCATTGATCTTCACTATTAGCCCACATATGAGGAGCAGTCAGATTTCCAGGCTCCCTGTAGCAGCACTGGGGTCTTTTTTGAAAAGAAATATCAAGGCTTCCAGAGGCTGATAGGAATAGATTTCTTCTTTTGGGTAATCTTATTCTTCAGACAGTTCAATTAAGACTAGCTTTATTCTAGAAAGATTGAATCCAGTTATCTGTCTCTGCTACCTTTGCTGCAGTGGGTGTGACAAGGATCACTGAGAAGGGGCCTTTCTATTTTGGGTTTAACTAGTCAGCAAGTTTTCCCTCTCTCTAAGTCTTTATAAACACTTGGTCTCCAGGATGGACAGTAAGTGGTCCTCCTCAGCCAGGAGCTGGCAAGACTTTGTTCCCATACATTTAGATAGTCTGTTGTATGTAGCTCAGATTAATGAAATATTATGAGAGCCTGGTAGTCTTGGGGTCTACTATCATGTCAGAGGATAGAAATGGACTCTCATATAACATTTCAAATGGGTTCAAACTTAGTCCACTTTTGGGCGTGTTACCCAACCCTCATGAGTACTGTTGACAGCAGTTGAAGCCAGGACTGACTTCTCTTAGCAAAGTTTTACTAGTGCTTGCCTTAGGATCTTGTTGGCTCTACCTTTCCAGATGATTAAGGCCACCAGGAGAAATGGAGGTGATACTTTATTCCTAAAGCCTTTGCCACCCCCTGAGTTATTTGGGAGCTAAAAGAAGGTCCATTGTCACCCTGCAGGGACTGAGGTAGTCCAAATCTAGGGGTGATTTCTTTAAGAAGCACCTTGACTACCTCTGTAGCCTTTTCTGAACAGGTAGAATAGGCTTCGATCTAGCCTGTAAATGTGTCAATTAGGACCAACATCTGTTTAAATCCTCCACATGATGGCATGTGGGCAAAGTCTAATTGCCAGTCCCTTCCAGAGTATGTCATTCTCCACTGTACAGGTTATAATAAAGGAGGCAATTTGGACTTCCCAGGGTTATTACAGGTACAGAGTGTGCAAGCTTTGCAGACCTGTTGGCTGATTGCTGCTAGTGCTAATCCTTTGAAAATTCGAGTGACCATTTCTAGTGTAGTATCTCTTCCCACATGGAAGGAATCATGAAGTGTTTCTTTTGTTGGTTTTTTTTTCCTTTTTGGTACTAGAAATCAAACTTAGGAGCTCGCACTTGCCAGGTAGGTGCTGTGCCACTGAACTACATCCCCAGTCCTTATGAAGTGTTTTTATAGCCTTACACTATGTCCCTTGAGGAAGGACCAGTTTGTTTTCTAAGTACCACTGGCATCCCTTTTTAATTCCCCCTTGTTCTGAGGCCCATTTATTTTCCTGGAGGTATAGTCTGGTTTTAATGGTTCCTCAGGAAGTGGAAATAAGGCTAGAGTCTTGAGGATTTGTAAAGCTGCCCTTTTTTGCTTCCCTATCAGCCTTTTGATTTTCCAAGGAAACTTCAGACGTCTCTTTGGTCCCCTTTAAAGTGTATGACTGTGAACTGCTTAGGTAGATGGACTGCCTCTAGGAGTTGTAGGATTTCCTTCCTGAGCTTGATAGATGATTGCTTATTAGTTAGTAAGCCTCTTTCCTTCCAGATTGCTGCCTTGGTGTGTATATCTGAAAGGCATATTTGGAATCTTATATTTAACTTTCTACCTTTTCCTAATATCAGTGCCCAAGTAAGACCTATCAACTCTGCTTTTTGAGCAGAGGTTTCTGGAGGAAGAGGTTTAGCTTCAGTGATCTGTTGTAAGCTGACAACTGCATAACCTGCCTTTTGATATTCTTCTTGAACAAAGCTACTTGTAATAGTGAACCATACCTCATCATGGTCTTGGAAGGGCAGATCACTAATGTCCTGCCTACTTGCATAGGGTCTGGGAGATGACTTGTTCATGAGAATGGCTAACTTCTGGGCCTGTAGGCATCAAAGAAGTAGGGTTAATAGTAGTGCAGGTTTTTATAATAACCTCAGGAGTATCTAAGAGCACGGTTTGATACTTAGCAGTTCCCCTGTTAACCACAAGTAACCTTTTTTCTACAGAATTGCTCTGGCCCGCTGGGGAGTCAGGATTTTTAGTTTCTGTCCCAACGTTAACTTTGTAGCTTCTTCTGTTAGTATAGCTGTAACTGCTATTGCTTTCAGGCAGGGTGGCCATCCAGTAGCCATACCAATCTAATTTCTTTGAAAAATATGCCACTAGGGCTGGGGATTTAGCTCAGTGGTTCTGCCATCTGCCTCGCAAGCGCAAGGACCCGAGTTTGATCCCCAGTATCAAAAAAAAATATATATATATATATGCCACTGGGTGGGGTTCTTGCCCTACCTTTTGGGTCAAGATCCCAAAGCAATTCCTCCCTTTTCTGATAGGTATAGAAAGATTTTCTTAAGTCAGGTACTGTGGACCCTCAAGTTACTACTGGCCTGACATACAAACAACTTGGGTTACAACTGAAATTTTAGTTTTACCTTACAATGAAAGTCTTGAGTTATGACATAAATGTCAGCTCCTTGTGCTTCCAGATGGTCTCACAGATAAAGATACAGATTTAACATTACAAAATCCTTTCCTATGTGGGGTTAACTGAGAAGTTCTGGGCCAGTGTCTCCCTAAAGACCCTGAGATCTGCCTGTATACAGCTGAGAGACCTTGAAGGCTGTGTAGAGAAGCCTGAACCTTCAGTTGACCAACTTCAGTTACAACCAGCCCTGGGGAAGGAATTGAGTTCATAAGTCAAGGGTCCACTGTATTCCCAGTGCTGGAGCCTGAGTAAGACATGCTTTCTTTTCCTAAAGGCATTGTCCGTCACTTTTCTCCATTCTAGAGGCACAAACTCAGGGCCTTTGAAAGCCTCATATAAAGGCTTTGCCATTAATCCACAATTAGGTAGCCAGATCCTACAAAAGCTTGCCATCCCCAGGAAGGAGTGAAGCTATTATTTTGTGGCAGAAGGCCCAAGATCACAGATAGCCTGGATCTGGTCCCTAGACAGTTGTCATTCCCTGGGTGTAAGAATATATCCTGGAACTTTTTGGAGGGATATCTCAGCCTTTTCTTTTTAGACCTTACAACTCTTCTTAGCCAGAAAAGTTGTGTCTGTATAGGTTATAGTTGGATAATTTCTGAGTTGGGCTGCCAACTAGAATATCATCTACATTCTGTGAGATGGTTCCTTGTTCTACTTTTGGGTTCCTCAAGTCTTTTTCTAGTGCCCGAGCAAAAAGGTGAGGATTGTTTCTAATCCCTGTGCGAGAACTCTCCAAGTATATTGCTGCTTGTTTCTTGTAATTGAATTTTCCCATTCAAAGGCAAACAGAAACTGAGAGTGGTTGTAGGGGAATGGAGAAAAGAATGCGTCTTTTAAATCTAAGACTGAGAACCAGTTAGTGTCCCCTGGAATTTGGGAGAGAATTGAATATGGATCTGACCCTAGAGGATGGATTGGAACGACAGCTTCATTAATGAGGTGGAGGTCTTTTGTATCATCCAGTATTCTCCTGAGATTTTACTACAAGGAGAATGGAGTACTGCAGGAGGACTGACAAGGCTTCAGAAGGTCATATTTGAGAAACTTGTCTATGAGAGGCTGGAGGTCCCTTTTTCTCAGTCTCAGGTCTGTAACAGTGCAAGGAACGATTAGGCCAACTGTCAGAAGACCCCAGGAAGTTTGCAGATGGGTTCCAAACTTTGACCGTTGCTTTTGACTTATCATGTTGAGATGTCCAGTTTATCTCGACCACTTGCTGTACCACAGATGAAACACATAGAATCCTACAAGAGGCTAGGAACCTTGCAGATGAACAATATGTTTTGAAAAAGGAAAAAAATCACCCTGTAGAGGCTATCCTCCTTTCAGCAGAGCCAAATGGGACTGTAATACTCAGCATGGTCTAGAAATGATAGTTGGTATGCTAGCTTGTCTTATTATGGGGATGAAAAGGTGCATTTAAAAAATCTGTTAATTATGATAGAGTGGATGGGGTCTTGCAGGACATAGAGAAAAATTCAGCTTTGTTTTATACATGATTAACAGAGGCCTTCCACAAGTAATATATATCCATCTTCCAGGGAGGGAGAAACACTAATGGGACATCATTTCATCTGTCATTCAGCCTCAATTATTTGGCGTAACCTATAAAAACTTCAGATGGGGCCACAGACACCTGTGACCCAATTGCTGGATATAGCCTTTCCTGTGTTCAACAGCTGGGACCCAGAGGAGAGACAAAGGAGAGAACATAAGATTATAGCCATTGCAATTCATAGTGCTTTAAACCCACCTGTCTCATCTAAGGAAAAACCCAGGGACATCTGAGGAAAGGGTTTCTGTTTCAAGTGCAAGAGGACTAGACAAGTGAGCACGAGGTTACCAAGCTTCCCTGGGCCCTGCTCTGCATGTGAGGTAGCTAATGTGTCTGACTCATCACTGGAGGGTTGACTGTCCCCATTCCCAGAGAGGGGTTAGGCCAGCCAGAACCCCCATTTTCTGCTCTGACGACTAAAGAAGCCTAGGGGAACCTGCAATGCCCCTGTCCACGGACATCATCATCTCTGAGGAATCCTGGGTAAACTTAGACATCATGGATGACCCAATTGGACTGCTTATTGATATAAGGGTAGCTCACTCTGTTTTGACTTCCTTCTCTGGAAAATAGGTCTATAACCATAGTTGGGGTTGAGGGAACCCCTAGACGGAGATTCTTTCCTCCTGCTCTGACATGTCACTTTGAAGGCCAAATATTTATCCACGAGTTTCTAGTTGCCCCACAGTGCTCTACTGCTTTGCTAGGAAGAAATTTACTAGCAAAATTGGGGACAATTTTCAAATTCCAGCTAAGGCCAAAACAGATTTTACATGTTGAGACCACACCAGTCCTCACTGACCAAATTAACCAACAAGTAGATTCTGTTGCATAATCCCTGGTAGGGCAAATTCTTCTAGGCCAGTAGTTATAAGACTAAAAGACCCTAGCTGCTTTCCTAATTGAAAGCAGTATCCAATCAAGGAAGAGACATGTAAAGACCTCCAGCTTCTCATAGACAAGTTTCTCAAATACGGTCTTCTGAAGCCTTGTCAGTCCTCTTATAGTACTCCCATTCTGCAGTAAAGCCCTCAGAAGAGTATTGGATGATACAAGTCGGTCATTCCATTTCATCCCCTAGGGTCAGATCCACATACAATTCTCTCCCAAATTCCAGGGGACACTAATTGGTTCTCAGTCTTAGATTTTAAAAATGCATTTCTTCCTGATTTGAATAGAAACAATAATTGATGAAGTAGCTTCAAAGACTTGAAGATCTTTATTTCTTAAGTAAAACTAGTATTTACCTTGAAATATTTTCCTTGAAATATTCTCATTTTCTGAGAGGATTTTATTATATAAGGAAATTTTAATCTTAAAACTTCCACAAATTTGTTAATGGAGTAAGAATTAGTAAAGTGTTATTTTGGGGGTTTTTTTTTCCTTAAATTCTTTTATTGGTACATTTTAGGTATACAATACGTTTATATTTATCATTGGGTGCTTGTACCTGTACATGATGTATCTTGGTTCTTATTTTTTCCCCATTACCTGTGCGCCCTTTACCCTGTTTTGGGTTTTTTTAAATATATTTCATGCTGTTGCATTTAATTTAATGTATGTTTTTGCTGCTATGTCAGTTCTCTTAGTGAAATAGAAGATTCTCTTCCTCCTGGAAAAGCAGCGTTTTATACATGGGCTGATCCAGTGGGCTCTAGAAAGCTGAAGTGGAGTTGTGGAAAAAGCTATGGTGAAGTAACACAAACAGATGTAAGTACTGGGTTATTTTATCTTTTTAAAGGTGTACGTTTCATGATTTTCAGGACTATTTTCTGGGTACCTATTTAAAAATAAAAAGACTGCCAAAGATTTTTAAAACAATTTTAGCTTTATATTTTTTTCTTTTAACTTTCATCTTGTTTTCACTTTGTCATATTCCAACCCTAAGCTAAGTACAATTGGAAAACCAGTAAGTAGTATACTGAAGTAGTTATATACCAAAGGGTTCGGGTCATTTAGATTTACACCAGTAAAAGCATGCAACCCTTTGCCAGCTGTGGTGGCACACACCTAATAATCTCAGCACTCCAGGAGGCTTAGGCAGGAGGGTCACTCTGACTTTGAGGTCAGCCTGGGATACATAGTGACTTAAAGCCCAGCCTGAATCACATAGCAAGACCTTAGCTCCAAAAACAAAAAAGTATGCAACCCATAAGCAAAGCTTCTTTATCTTTAAAAGAAAGAAAAATTCATAGTATATAATAGTCCTTCCATATGTTTATTGTACAAAATAAATTCTGTCAAGATTTGTCTTAATCAAAAACATTTGAAACCTGGAAGTAGTCTTATTTTGGCTATATTGTTATTTGCTTCTACTGTGTTATAAAAGATAAGCTCGCTTAAGTGCTTTTAACATTCCCTTATGTGCCAAATGTGATGACATATGCCTATAATCCCAGCACTTGAGAGGCTGAGGCAGAAGGATCGTGGAGAGGTTGAGGGCAGGCTAGGTTACACTGTGAGTTCAAGGCCAGCCTGAACTACATAGTGAGACCCTGTCTCAAAGAGCCAAAAAAATCGCCTCATAAAGAATCTACAGTGGCAGTCTTTATTTAGATTAAACTTACCTAAAGAACACTTAAAGATCCAATAAGTAAACTAAAAGAAATGCATTTCTAAGTGGCAAGCTGTGTGGTAAAGTTGTGTACAAACTTTCTAGTAACAAATAACATTCAAAAATTAAAATTTTATTTGTTGTTCAAAATTAATCTTAATTTGCACCTATGCTAATGTCTTTTTTAACTCATTTTTATTTTGTCCTGCCTACCAGGAGGCTAAATGATTCTGTAATTCACATTTTAGAGGAGCTACAGAAAAGTTCATCATTGTGCCTTTGTTTTAGGGTTTTTGTCTGTTATTGTAATTTTTTTTTAAATATCCTGTATCAAATTAAAATGGTTTTGTTCTACTTGTTCGTTAAAATGTGTGTTGATGTGCATACATATAAATGGATGAATGGTGAATTTTTAATCAGATGGTTATTTTATTGCACATGATTGTTGAACTTTATCTTATTTTGAGGATTAATTATATGATGAGTGTTTGCCAACATTAGGACAGCCTCACATTTAGGAGTTTTTTGTTTTTTGTTGGAGTTTGAATTTTTTTCTTTTGAAAATTTTTTGGTACATCTTAGATATACATAATAATAACATTCATCATAGTGAATTTGTACATGATATATCTTAATTCTTTTTTCCCATTGCCCTCCCTTCCCTTCAATCCCTCTTCCCTTCCTTATTTATTCCCTTCCTTATCTACTTTTTTCCTTCTAGTCTCTTTTCTTTTCCTTTCCTTCCTTATTCCTTCCCCCCTCCCTAGTTCCCTTTCCCTTTTGAACATTTCCTTCCTGTTTCATAATATCTATTATATATTCTAGTCCTTATTTACCCTTTCAATTTCTCACATCAGAGAAACAGTTCAATATTGAAAAGTGTTTCCAGTTTATTTCACTTAAGAATATGGTCTCAAGGTACATCCATTTACCTAGAAATGTCTCAAGTCCATCCTTCTTTATGGCAGAGTAGTACTGCGTTGTATTAAAACAAAACACATCATCTTTATGCATTCATTAGATAATACGCATTTGTGGTGTTTCCAAGATTTGGCTGTTACAGACTGTGCTGTTAAAAATGTGGGTGCACATACATCAGTGTGGTATGATGCTTTTAATTCTTTCAGGAAGATACCAACAAGGGGGATAGCTGGGTCAAATAGATCCTCTAGTTTTAGTTTTCTGAGAAATCTCCACACTGATTTCCACAGTGGTTGCACCAGTCTGTACTCCTACCAGCAGTGGAGAAGGGTTCCTTTTTCCCCATAGCCCTGCCAGCATTTGTTATTGGTTGATTTCTTGATAATAGCTAGTCTTTCTGGAGTGAGATGGAATCTCAGTAAATTAAAAAATTTACATCTCTGGAATGACCAGTGATGTTGAACATTTTTTTTTGTATATTTAATTGCCATTTGTATTTCATCTGAGAAATATCTATTCATTTCAGATGCCCATTTTTAGATTGAGTCTTTAAATTTGGGGCGTCTGATTTTTTTGAGTTCTTAATATATTCTAGATATTAGTACTTTTTTCAGAAACAGCTGGCAATCTACTCTGTAGCTTGTCTCTTCACTCTGTTGGTGATTTCTTTTGCTGTGCAAAAGCTTTTTTTTTTTCCTTTGGTACTGGGGATTGAACTTGGGACATTGCACTTGCAAGGCAGGTAAATCCCCGGCCTGCAAAAGCTTTTTAATAAGATGAGATCCAGTTGTTGATTCTTTGTGATAGTTCCTGTGCAATCAGGGTTCTGTTTATAAAGTCTTTGCCTACACCTATGTTTTCAAGAGTTCTACCCATTCTGTCTTCCATCAGATTTAGTGTTTCTGCTTAATATTTAGATCTTTGGTCTTTTTTCTTTTTCTTTTTTTTTTTTTTTTTTGAGCTTTGGGCCTGATCAGTGCTGCTCTGGGCAGCAAAGATGAAATCCCCCAGTTTACCCCACCTTTTATTCAGTACATCGGGAGAAACAAATGTAACAAATGACTTGCAAAGACTTCAGTACATCAAACAAAGTGTAACAATCCAAGAACAGTGAGGAACTGAGTAGATGAAGATTTTATTCCTCCCAGGATGTCTTCAGCTGGTGTAATCTTGTCCTGGAGCATCACTGGATCATTGAGGTCTCAGTTGTGACCAGGGGCTAAAATGGAATTATGCCTCAAAATGCCAGAGCTGGCCTGTAGGCAGGAGAACTAGGCCTAATCAAATGACTTTTCCCTAAAGCTATGTAGCATTGCTCCTGACATATCTCCCTTTTTGTTTTATGTGAGGGTGTTTTTAGGAAAAGTGAGTACACCCAAAAATGGCTTGTCCCTATATATTGTGAGGATCTATAATGTGTTTGACTGGCTTAGCTGTCTATAATAAGCATAATTTCTCTTAATTGGGGCTGTAAAAGGATTAAAAAATGTAAAAAAAATGTTTTTAAACTTAAAACTTTTGTTGAACTCAAATATTATCTTCTGTTATACTTTTCTACTGGGTGTTTAAGACCAAGTTATGGTGAGACCTATATTAAATAAAATCAACCTTTTGCTATCTAACAAGGTCAACTGAGTCTCCTTAGGCACTGTCTTGGAACCATGAATAGAGCCCCTTAGCTCCTCTGTCAGTGTCAGCCATCAGGATATGTCATGGCCTTGCTCGACCATGTTGCTTCCTGTGAAACCATGGGAGATTTTTTCCTCCAGGTGACATTCCTTTGGCACACTTTTTGTTGGATCTTTACTGTTTTGGTGTTCAGCAACCTCCCTGCTCAGGAGGTTGGGTGACTCACCAAAGATGCAGGATCTTGGAGAAGGTTCCCTCATGCCTTTGTTCATTTTTTAAATTTTAGTTTAGTGTATGGTGAAAGATACGGGTTTAGTTTTAATCTTTGCTATGTGGAAACCAGTTTTTCCAGGACCATTTATTAAAGAAGCTATCTTTCTTCCAGTAAAGGTGTTTGGCCACTTTGTCAAAAGTAAGATGGCTGAGTGTGTTTGGAGTTGTTTCTGCATCTTCTATTCTGTTCCACTGATCCTTGGGTCTTTTTTTTGCCAGTACCATGATGTTTTTATCACTGTAGTTTTGTAGTATAATTTCAAGTCAGGGATTGTGATGCCTGCCTTTGTTGCCCAGAATTGCTTTTTGCTATTCTAGATCCTTTCTTGTTCCAAATGAATTTTAGGATTGTCTTCTCTGATTCTGTGAGGTATGCTTTTGGTATTTTGATCAGGATTACATTAAATCTGTATAATAATTTTTGGAAGTATGTCCATTTTCACTATATTGGTTCATCTTAACCAAGAACAAGGGATATCTTTTCATTTTCTGATATCCTCTTCGATCTTCTTTTTCCGACTACTGTAGTTTTCAATATAAAGGTCTTTTACTTCCTTTGTTACATTGATTCCTAAGTATTTTATTTTTTTCAGTGCTATTGCAAAAGATGTTGTTTTCCTAATTTCTCTCTCAGTGAGTTTATTTGTGTACATTCCTATGCTATTGATTTTTGAGTGCTGACTTTGTATCCAGCTATGCTACTGAATTTGGTTATTAAATCTAGAAGTCTTTTGATGGAGTTTTTGGGGTCTTCTGTGTAGAGTATCATGTCATCTGCAAATAATGGTAATTTAACTTCTTCCTTTCCTATAAATACTCCTTTTATTTCTTTCTCTTGTCTAATTGCTCTAATTCCAGAACTATATTGAACAGGAATGGTGATTGTGAGTGTTATGTATTGTATCAAGATATTCCCCCAAAAAGCCTCATACAGCCATACGTGGGGGTTTTCAGAGGTAGCTGGATCGAGGGTGTGTGATGCTAAGATTAAGGATGCCCTACCCTGGGTGTGGGTGGCACTAATCAGTAGGCATATAGCCTGGATAGAATGAATATAAAGGGACAGAAAGAAGCTGCAGCTGCTTCTCCTACTGATATTGCTTGCTGCCTTCTACCTTCTACCTGCCCTGTCACTCCATGTAGTGTTTGTCCTCTTCAGTGCCTCTCTGCCATGCCACCCTACCTTGGAGGCAGCTGGCTGTGGACTGAAATCTCTATAAACTGTAAGCTGAAATAAACTTTTCCACCTTTAGCTTTGGGTGTCAGGTATTTTGTCACAGCAGTAAGAACACTTAAACAGTGGGGATCTTTGTCTTGTTCCTGATTTTAAAGT